TGGCGGCAGAATGCCGCAATCGTGGTCTCCATCCCCGGACTCCACCTGGGTGGCTGGTGCTTGGTTCTGTGTTGTTTTTCTCTCTTTAATTAAATGTGTTTGAGTCTGCTCTTGTTCCCACTCACCTCTGCCCATCTCTCCGATCCATTTCTCTCTCCTTCCACCCCTCTTCATTCCCTCCCCTTCTCATTCACCACTGACCGTTACAGAGAACTGAAGTGTTTTGAAAGTATATTATACTTATCAACAAAATCCCGGTTGTCACTTTTAAAAGTAAAGGTGTAACTGTAATCCCAGGGACTCCAAAGGCCAAGGCAGGAGGATCTCTTGAGCCCATGAGTTCGAGACCAGCCTGGGCAACATAGCGAGACGCCATCTCTTAAAAAAATTTTAAAAAGCCAGGTACAATGGCTCACGCCTGTTATCTCAGCTGCTCGGGAGGCTGAGGCAGGAGGATCGCTTGAGCCCAGGAGTTTGAGGTTGCCGTGAGCTAGGCTGACGCTACGGCACTCTAGCCCGGGCAAAAAGAGTGAGACTCTGTCTCAAAAAAAAAAAAAAAAAATCTTGTGTAAACCAAATCATTTTAAAGAGCTCGAGGCGGTCACTGTTTAAAGGACAGTGTAAATAATTCTAAAAGTGACTCTCCCCTGTTATTTGATCCCTTCTTTGGCCAGTTGACTTGGCAGGACTAGGTTCTCCTGTGTCTGTTCCCAGGCTGAATACCTTGGACTTAAGAGAAGGCTTGTGTGAGCGTCCAGTGCCCACCCCAGGTTAAATTCCCGCTGGACCATTGCACTGGGCCTGGTTAGGCGAAGCCCAGCCCAGCAAGTGCCAGGGACAGGCCCTGCCTGGGGCCAGCCTGGCAGCTTCTGTGGGGTTGGGGAGAGAGTGCCTGGAGGCTTGGGGCCAGGGAGGGGGAGTTAGGCTCTTCGGAGCAGCCTCCAGAGATCTGAACCCAGATTGGGTTTGGGATTGTTTTGGGTCCTCCAGGAAATGGATTAAACCAAGTGGACCCACCCCTAGCACCACCTCACCGCAGCCTCTCCTCTAGGGTCAAAGCCTGACCACAGAAATTTCTCTCCTAACCAGGAGTTCCCCTGATCAAACTTCAGAGCTGGCAAATCATTGTTCTCTCCTCTGATGGGTATTCTCAAGTGTCTCCCCAGGGCCCAGGGGCGATACATGTTACTCCAGCTGAGAAGTTAAGTTTCAGGATTCCAATTTCATAATGCCAACCACTACCCTTTTCTCTTCCTTCTGTAAATCTAAGATTCTATAAAGGGTGTTAACTTAATGTGACAACTAACATTATTTCAGATCTCCTTTGTAAATATCCTTGTGTCTATTGCCAAATCCCACAAAAGCTTTTGGCCTTTTTTGTCGGGTTGGAACAAGAAAAAGCCACATGGAAAAAACATCTCTGTGTGTTGCAGGAACTGTTATTGCTTAATGTCCTTTGATTCATTTGATCAGTTTCTTTTATGGTTTAGTACATAAAACAAATCATTGTCCTTGAAAAACTGCTAAGTTTTCTTCGTCAGATAAGGAGAGCGATGTAACTCATCAGGTTTCCCTTTTTGCCCTGGCTGCCAGGAAGCTCAGAGCTAATTGTAATGATCAGTCTTGTAATTGTCAGTCTCGGTGATCTCCTCTTCTAACATTATTCTTTAAATTTTCTTGTTTTGTTATTGTGAGTGTGTGTTTTCTCATTCTAAGCTGCTCCCATTCCTTTTTAAAAGCAGGTAAATCTGCTTCTGGGACTTACCTGATGAAAAGTAATAAATAAAAAATGATCCCCAAAGATCAGTTCATGCCATCTTCAGATTTTTAAAGGAGTGAATTGATTACAAGACATATGCGGAGGGTGATAGTGACTGTTTGAGGAGCAGCATGAGAAAGCCTGTCCCGCCTTCTTGCCCAGCTCAAGCCTGGGCTGAGGCGCTGCTGCAGTGTCTCCCCGAAGTCACAAGAGAATTTGAATGTTCACCAGGAAGTATTGTTTTTATTTATGAGGCAATAGCCTTGAGGACAGACCAGGAGAAATTTATTGTCACATAGATAGCCCGCAGCTACAGAAACACCCATGTCTGGATTCTTCTGTGGCTTCTTCTGACTTGAGAAAGTCGCTGAACCTCTCTGGGCCTCCAGTGGCCTCCTTGTCCCTAAGGAGGGGGATAGTGGGCAAGAATGGTGACGTGGAATGAGATATTTATCCAACCCTAAAGGAGGGGTGGTTTGTACATTTAAAAACCAGAATAGAGGCCAGGCGCGGTGGCTCACGCCTGTAATCCTAGCACTCTGGGAGGCCGAGGCAGGCGGATCATTCTGAGCTCAGGAGTTCGAGACCAGCCTGAGCAAGAGCGAGACCCCGTCTCTACCAAAAAATGGAAAGAAATTAACTGGACAGCTAAAAATATATGTAGAAAAAATTAGCCAGGCATGGTGGCGCGTGCCTGTGGTCCCAGCTACTCGGGAGGCTGAGACAGGAGGATTGCTTGAGCCCAGGAGTTTGAGGTTGCTGTGAGCTAGGCTGACGCCACCGCACTTGCCCCAGGCAAGAGAGTGAGACTCTGCCTCAAAAAAAAAAAAAAAAAAAAACCAGAATAAAAATTACAAAGGAAGAATTCGAGTATGTAAAAAATGTAAACATTTGTATGTTAGAAAAAAATACACCTACCTGCAAAAAGGGTAAAGGAGCAATTTCAGTAATAATCAGAGAAATGCAGAATAAGCCAACCATGCAGGTTCATTTATTTTGGTCAAAGAAATAAGCAAAAGCATGTTTTAAATACCCCATGCTGGCAGCAACATGGGCAAGTTGGTTTTCTCAAAAGTGCTCACAGGGAACGTTAATCTAACCCTTTTAGAAAGCCATTTGGAGAGCTGTACTGAGAGTTTGTGGAATATTTATAACTTCGCCCCAGAAATTCTATTCCAGGACTCTATGCTATAAAAATCCATAACATGGAAAAAATTCCTTGCAGAAAGATGTTCATAGGAGGCCGTTTGTATTATTTAAAATGGAATCAATACAAATGTTTGATATTAGAGGAACGGTATTTACGAAATGGAACAGGGCACATTATTAAAAATAATGCTCTGATCACTGTAAACCATGGAGAATGCTCAGAATATATTACTTGCTAAAGCAGGACACAAAATTGCATGTTCGCAATAATTCTGTCATTTATATATATATGTATGATGGTAGTTAGGTATAAATGAGACTTCAAGGAAATACAACAAAACACAATAGTGGTTGTGTTAGGGTGGTGAGAAAACTGTTTTATTTTTGTTTTTGCCTTTTTAACCTTTATTTTTCAAAATCATAGTGCTATATTTTCTAATGCAAATACATAGTATTTTTTTAAAGGAACATAAGCGATAATGGAGAGGTGAGTTAGATGTGCGAGTCCCAGGTTTTAGGATCCAGAGCAGTAAAATTAAGAATTAAGGGGAAGAAAACCAGGCTGGGCAGGAAGCTGGGTCCGACCCATGGCCACCGCCGGTGCTGACGGGGCCTCCGGAGCCGCCCCCACCGTCCCCCTGACCCGCATTCTCGAAGGCAGCGACTGAGGTCCCGGTGCCAGAAGCCAAACTGGCCCTGCCGTGTCTTCGCTGGGAACTCCAGCCGGCCACCGTCTGCATCTGCGATGACGATGACGCATAAAGTCTTGCCCTTTCGCAAACACAGAGTTCCTGAGGGGAAGACATCGGTGAGGAAGACATCCCTCTGAACCCTGGCCTCCTGTCCCTTTCGTGGCTTTTCGGCACCCTGGGTAAAAATCCTTGCTTATGGCAGTGGCTCACGCCTGTAATCCTAGCACTCTGGGAGGCCGAGGCGGGTGGATCGCTCAAGGTCAGGAGCTCGAGACCAGCCTGAGCAAGAGCGAGACCCCGTCTCTACTAAAAAATAGAAAGAAATGATCTGGACAACTAAAAATATATGTATAAAAAATTAGCCGGGCATGGTGGTGCATGCCTGTAGTCCCAGCTACTCGGGAGGCTGAGGCAGGAGGATCGCTTGAGCCCAGGAGTTTGAGGTTGCTGTGAGCTAGGCTGACGCCACGGCATTCTAGCCCGGGCAACAGAGCAAGACTCTGTCTCAAAAAAAAAAAAAAAAAAATCCTTCCTCACCAAAACACTGAGAGCCCCACACCTTCTCCCTGATGCCTAGAGAAAGAAGAACCTTCCAGAAATGCAGTCGTCTGGGACCCACCTGGGCCACACGCGCTCACGGGAAAGCTAAGCCAAGCCACATGGGAGCATTCGCTCAGCGTCCTTTACGTGCCTGGTGGGCTCGTGGGTGGCAGGGGGCTGGCGGGTGGAAGGGAGGAGCAGACACTTGCCCCTTCCGCAGGGGGCCGCACAGTCTGTGCTTGTCGTCTCCGTGGGCTTCAGGGATTCTCAAACCCGGCCGTGCGTCACAACCAAGGAACATGTCACAAGCGTAGAGTTGTAAATCAGACTCCCCAAGTTTCCAATTCTAGGACTCCGGTGGGGTCTGGGTTTCCTCCCTTTTTTTCTCCTTAATCTGCAGGTGATCCCGACACCTAACAGACTTGAGAACATGAAGTTCTCTGAGTGTGTCCGGATGGGCTGGGCAGGGTGCGTGAGCAGAGATGCAGGGAGGCTTTTTATTCCTCATTATGAATGTCGCTGAGCACAGCCGTCACTCATCCCGACCTGGGGAACGCTGACCTGCGGTTCCCAGGCCTCTGCAGTGCTCTCTGAGGGACGCCACAGCGCAGTCCTTTTGTAAAGGGAGGCTCTGCTCTGTGACTCCAGTGTCCTCAAAGCACTCAACGATTCTGGAAGATTCTGGAACGCTTTCCAGGCCACCCTCCCTTCTGAACCGATCAGTCCTTCCAGCTCCGCTGGGCTATGACTCGGCCTCTGGGCCTGCACTGCCCTCGCCCTGAAGTCGCACACGCAGACTCGCGCCGAGCGGCTACGTCTGGGCGGGCGGTGTCACTCATCCTTTTTTCTGGCTATCAAAGGTGCAGATAATTAATAAGAAGCTGGATCTTAGCAACGTCCAGTCCAAGTGTGGCTCAAAGGATAATATCAAACACGTCCCAGGAGGTGGCAGTGTGAGTACCTTCACACGTTCCCCGCACCGTGCTGTGGTTGATTTTTTAAGGCGTGGCATGAGTACGTATACTCGTGAGACATTGCACAGAATAAATCCTTCTCCGGCTCCGGATCTAGCCGTGTCCCCAGGCAAATGTAGCCCAGGCTCCCCAAGTCCTCACACTGCCTCGTCCGTAGAAGCCCTTCCCTCCCCATGGCAGGAGGGCTGTTCCCGGCCTGCGCAGGCCACACAGGTAGAATGGGGAAGGGGATGGACCCTCCCTCAAGCCCCTCTCTGGGCAGCTGGGTCCCCAGGGCATGATCCCCACCACGGACTCACGCACCCACTGGAAGTTGGGCTGAAGGTGGTGGCGTCTGAGACCGGGCACCTCCTCCCCTGTCACCTGGGCAGGTTCCTGTCGAGTGGCTCCACTGTGGACAGGTGGCCCGTTTGCTCTGATGAGTGGACATGAAGGTGTTACTGTCCTACCTCAGGCCAAGAGTCCAGTCTCTGCGCAGTTGTGTCTCTTCCACATTGAAGGGAGGAGCCGATTCCGGAGCCCCTCGGCTTCTGTTTAGGACCCGCTCCACCCTCTGGCAGAGGCTGCAATGCAGAGAGCCAAACAGAAGCGTGACAGGTCCCTCTGCCTGGCAGAGAAATACTGCTTTTGGCCCTTTTATGTTTGGTCCTCTCCTAATGTCCCAGGGGACACCGTGCATCCTCAGTGGAGTGTCCCGGTGAGCTCTGGGGCTCAGATCTTCACTCCCCACCTACCCACGTGAGGGGCTCAGCGGCTCCGCATCTTCCTGGCTGGTCCCTGTTCCCGGGCTCCTCTCTCCCTGACACCCTCCTCGCTCTCTCGGTCAGCCCTGGCCATGAGCAAACTTCCGCCACCCTGGGCAACCAGAACTTCGAGATCTTTGAGGCCCACCCCAGGGGGGCCTGGTTTCTGAGAGCAGGCGCCTGGCCAGGGCTGGCAGTGCCCTGTGACTGCCCTGGGCCGCAGGCACCGCCCACATCCCGCCAGAGGGTTTATTCTTGCAATGTGCTGCTGCCTCCTGCCCAAGCACCGTCCTGGCTGCTGCTTCTGAGCCCGCCGTATTCCTGGAGTAGGAGCGCTTGCCCTGCGGCTGCTGCATGGGGCTTTATTAACGCTTCCTCGTCGGTGTCCGCTGCGTGTCTCCTCTGCCCCCTACGCCCCGCTCCCCTGTCCCCCCACCGTGTCTCCTAAGACAGCAGCAGCGTGTGTGCCGCCCCACCCCACCGCCCGGCCTCGTTCCAGGCTCCGTGTGCCGGTTGCGTTTGCAGCCGTTTCAGCGTAGACGCCTGTTCTCTGGCTTCCTCGAAGGCGTTGGCACAGCTGGAGAAGGAAGGCCGTGGGCTTTCTGGTTTAATTCATTCCTGTCTGGGGCCTGGTGGGAGGTTGTGCCGCTGAAGCCATGGGGTCTGGCTCCAGGGGCCGCAGATGGCAGGCGCTAGAGAGCCACGTGGCCCTGTCCCTCTGGTGAGGGGTAGCTGATGCCCAGAGAAGCCGCAGTGCCCAGAACACTCGGGGACTTCCTTGGGGCCTCTGCTGTGTCCTGCACTGTGCTGGCCTTTGGGCCTATGACCTGTCAGAGAGCCACAGGATGTCCCAGGTGGGGCACTGTCCTCTGCCGGAGGCCACCGCTTGTTGGCAGCGGGAGCCTTCCCGGGAAGCCCTTCTCCTGGTGAATGGTTGTGAGGGTCACCTGCTCATTGTCAGCCTCTGGCTCTTGGGGGGCGAGGATCTCCCCCCTCCCCCAGCGAGGTGACATCCCAGCGGGCAGGCCCTGCTCCCCTCCCTGGGACCCCCTGCCTCCTGGCTGGGCTCCAGGCTGCTCTGCAGGGCTGCTCGCCCCCTCCCCGGCCTCCAGGCGCCTGCCCACCAGGCTCCCACCCTCATCCACTCCTTTCCCCAGCCCAGCCCCACCCTTGGTCTCCCTGACAGTGATTTCACCTAGGTCAGAAGGAGGAGGGAATGATGCCTCTGTCCCCGCCCTCCTGGGGACACAGGTCATCATCCTCCCAACACATCATTCCCGCACTGACCCCAAGGGCCAGGCCATCTCTCAGCTCTCCGTCAATAAGCAAACACCAACGTGACTTTAAAATAATTGGGGAATTATCCAGTTTAGACCTAGGTAGAAGACCCTCTTTCTTTCTGTGACCTCAATAAACCCCTCCAAGACTTGAGGCCGTCTCTCTCCTGGGCCACCCTGGGGCAGGGAGCCAACTGGCCTCCACCCCACGAGGTCCCAGCAGAGGGCCCAGGGGTTCTGGAGTGTCAGTCGGTGACCCAGGCCCCTCAGAGCCATGGTTTTGTGGAGACTTGCCTACAGGAGACCCATCTGCCGCTGTGGGGTCCCCACGGGGTGCGCCCTCGGGGAACAGCAGGCTCAGGGGCCGTCATTCCCAAGGGCGCTGAGCCCTGGAGCCCACAGGCCTCCCCGCGAGTGTCCGAGTCCGCCCCAGCCTGGCGAGACATTGTCTGTTGGCCTCTCTGCTGTGCCGCCTGCCCGTCCTGGAGGTTGCTTTGCTCATTTGGAAAAGACCGAAACGTCCAGGACGCCGTGTGCACAGGTGCCAGCTGGCTCCCTCCTCCGAGTCGCTGCGCTGCTCTGGGTCCTGCCTGGTGACCCGACACTGCTCTGGCGGCGGAGCAGGGATCTGCGGAAGCTTCTCCTGCTACCAAGCCCACCTGTCAGTCAGTCCTCACGCAGCCTCTCCTCCTCGAGGCCCGCAGACAGCTCTCCCTTTCCAAAGAGTTCTCAAACGCTGCGATACTAACCAGATCGGCCGCTTCTCTCTCGCGGGATGGGATGGGATGGGATCTGTCAATTTCATGGGATCTGTCAATTTCATGTCAGGAAAGGGAGGGGCTTTTGTACACAGCGCCCTGTTTTCCCCTGAGGATCTTTTGTTCCGCAGGGGTGGAAGACGCTCCGACCCCACGGTTATTTTGCGAAGACCCGGCTCCCTTGGGACAGGATTGGCCGAATTTCCCCACCACATTTTTCCACCCTTCTGGGGTGTGTTCCTCAGGGCAGACGGGAACGACCGTCCAAGCAGGGCCTGGGCTGACGCAGCTGCTTTTCATTGTGTTACACCTGTAATAAAATGATCCCATTTTATTCTCTTTGTCTCTCCATCTGCCCCCCTCCTCTCTCTCTCTCTCTCTCTCTCTCTCTCTGTGTCTCTCTCTCTCTCTCTCTCACACACATATCCTCTCTCGCCTCCAGGTGCAAATAGTCTACAAACCGGTTGACCTGAGCAAGGTGACTTCCAAGTGTGGCTCATTAGGCAACATCCACCATAAACCAGGTAGCCCTTGTGGAAGGCGAGGGTTGGGACAGAAAGGTGCTCGGGTTGGAGGGAGGTAGGGAAGGGGGATGGCAGGGGACAGGGACAGAACTGTCCAGGTGATGCCTTCTGGCCAGCAGGGGTTTGTCAGGTGGACCATCAAGGTGAGGGCTGAGTGTGGAACTTGCTGGGGCCTGGGGGATGTGGCCACCCCAGCTCGCCCCTGAGCAGCGCTGTGCTGGCCAAGACAAGGGGACAAGGGTGGCCAAATGCTGGTCCTAAACCCTAACCCATGGTTCTCCGAGTGGGCTGTACATGGGGCCTCCTGGGCTGGCAGTGCACCTCATCCAGCTCCCGAAGGCCAGCTATGTGTGTGTCCCAGCTTGGTCCCCAGCCAACATAGGGGACACTTTACCAGCCACAGCCTGGGACCCCTGAGCCAGTGCCGTGTCCCTGCTGTGACTGTGTCTACACAGAAAATGATGCTCCCAGAGCCCCCCACGTCACACTGCATAGAAGTCAGTGCGTCCATGCAGCTCCCATAGCGATGGGAAGAGTCCACATCTGTGCTGCCCAGTACGTAGCCACGAGCCACACGCGGCTACTGAGCACTTGAAATGTGGCTAATGCAGTTGAAGAACTGAACCAATTTTATTTAGTTAAAATTTAAGTAGCCACATGCGGCTCGGAGCTACCATATTGGGCAGCACAGGTGTAGATGCTGGCTCCCAACTGGGAGTCCAGAGCACGGACTTCTGCATTAGGCCCTGTCGAGGGCCCGGGTCTTCACCTGAACCATTACTGTGGGAAGAGGCCATCGGGAGCTCAGTCTAGAGCACGTCTCATTATTTTCTGGCTGTCCCGGACACCGTCTCTCCCAGTGAAAACTACCCCGCGACTGGTGCAGCCATCCCAGCACACTGGGAGCCACTTTCTTCACCCGTCCCAAGAAAGGACGTGGGCCATCTCTTCCTCCCATTGGGTCTTCCTCGCTTAGGCACTGCATTAAGGGCCAAGGAGGGAGAAAGGGTCAGGGTCTTTCCTTCTTAGAGTGCATTTTCACATTCAGTTTAATTCCCAGGGCTCGTGGGGTTGTGGTCTACTGGTTGTTGGTATAGAAAGATTTCATTTGTTGGAAACCGACCAATTTAGAATGTAGAATAATTTTTCCTGGACTGAGCTGCCATTTATAATTCGTTTGCAGTATCTCAAGAGGGGGAGTTTTCAGAGTAGATATTTGATGCACACCTTGCTTAGGGAGACGAAGCAAACTGTTCTCAAGCCCTTTGCAAGGACTTAATTGTATCCAAACCGCATGCTAAATGAGGGAGAGTCTTACCTGCTCCTAAAGGCTGGTCCCTACTTGGAATCACTTGCATGGCCCTTGTTCCAGTCCTCATGCAGTCATGAAGGTTCTATCACTGTCCTCCCCGCTTCGGAGCAGTGGCACCTGCCCTGCTTTTTGCTGTGCCCCAGAAGCCCCTGGCACTTTGCTCCGCAGACCTCATTTAACGCATGCTGAGTCCACTAAACCACAGAGGAAGATGGCACAACGCTCTGGTGTGTGTTGTGTTCCAGGAGGTGGCCAGGTGGAAGTAAAATCTGAGAAGCTGGACTTCAAGGATCGAGTCCAGTCGAAGATCGGGTCTCTGGATAACATCACCCACGTCCCCGGAGGAGGGAATAAAAAGGTGAATGAGGCGGGCGGGGCGGAGGCTGCATGTGGATACAGGTGTCAGTCGAGTCGGGCGGACAAAGGCCGGCACAGTTTTCCACAGGGGCAAAGGGGGGGTCCTGCATTGACTGGCTTGACCTGGTTCTCAGCAACATCCAGGACGGTGGGTCTGGCTTAGCTGCCCACCGCCTCACCTGGGAGCTTTAGCAGACTGGTGCCTGGGCCCAGCCTGGGCAGTCTGACTAGCTGGTCTCAGGTGCAGCT